TTCAGTCCTGCCTTCCAGCAGGGCTGAGGCTTGCGCCTGGTATCCTTCCATATGGATGTCCCCAGCACCTAGAACAGAGCCTGATTAGGACTCGAAGCTCTGAAGAAAGTCCTAGGTTTCTTAGCCTGGAGGCTTCTAAGCATGTCCAGGCTCCCCCAGGATATGCTTCCGAGTGTGAGGACCATCAAACAGATAACATGTTGGACTGGTGTCTTCCTGAAGAGCCCCTCAATTTGGAGTGGGGGGGAAATGCCTGAGGGAGTGAATGTATCTTCCTGCCCTACCTTTGCTTGTCTTGGAGAACTCGGGCGCTGTGCCGACTGGGTGGACAGAATTGTGGTTTGCACCCAAGGTGGGCACTGGGCGACTGTCGTGGGCACGGCGCTTGGCAAAGGGCCTGTCCGGGACAGCCGGATGCCTCTGGCCAGGTCCTGGGGCGGTGGCAGTCTGCACTCATGACATACGAAGCTGGAGGGTTGCCATTTGCTTGTAAAGCTTCCGGGTTCAGAAAATGGCTCCAGGCGGGAGGGTTCACCTGGAGCATAGTAGTGAAGGAGGGCAGGCAGGGTAGCTCCTTCTGGAGAACCAATTCCTGGGAGCAGTTCCAAAGTATGAATGCAAAAGTCTGAGCTTAATCTTACAGCAGTTTTTGGAGGATAAGGAACTCTCCTGGAGAGCCTTTTGTAGTGTCACGGGAGCTAGTATTTAATTCTGTTCCCGCATCTCTGTGTGTTTCTGCCTCACCTCCTCCCTTCTCTGAGGCCGAGCCTGATGGAGCCGACCCTCCCTGACCTCCTGGAGCCCCTGACCACAAGCTGCTGTGCTGCATTTGTCCACTCCCCCAGAACAGGCCTCATCTTTTTTTTTTTTTTTAATTTTTTTTTTAATGTTTATTTTTGAGAGAGAGAGAGAGAGAAAGACAGAGCCAGAGCATGAATGGGGGAGGGGCAGAGAGAGAGAGAGGGAGACACAGAATCCGAAGCAGGCTCCAGGCTGCGAGCTGTCAGCACAGAGTCCGACACGGGGCTCGAACTCACAGACCACGAGATCATGACCTGAGCAGGAGCCAGACGCTCAACCCACTGAGCCCACTCGGGTGCCCCAGCAGTCATCTTCTGCCATTGCTGCCCCCTGACAAGATCTGAGGAGATGCTGAGGGCAAACCAGGTGCTAAGAAATGAAGAGGGATGTTCCTTTGTTCTTTAAAGCAGTGTGAGGTCCGAAGCAGAACTGGGCCACCGAAAACACTCCTAGTTTTGGAATTGATGTGGGATTGGGGGCTGTGGGGCGGGGAGAGGGTAGGGAGTTAACATCTGATTCTCGGACCCGGCATAGGACTCGGGTGGCCCGGACACCCATCAAGATCTTGGAAAATGGGCGATTTAAGGTGAACAGTGCATGATGTACAGTTTCTTCTCTCTACTGACTAGCTGCCTTTTTGTATTCAACTTGTATTGACTTATTACTCATTGGTGGTAGTAATCTCTACTCAGAAAAAGCAAACTACTTCCCTTTCCTTGGGTCTGACTCTAGAATGTTCTGGTGAGGCCTACTGGTAGGAGAGGGAAGACCTGAATTCTATCTAGCCCTGGCTCCTTATCTGAGGGAATTGAGTTAATCCACACTTGAATCTTAGGAGAAATTATCTGGCCAGGTAAAATCTAAGGTGGCTCTGATCCAAGTCTGAGCTAAGAATGTCTGCTATACATTTTGTATTAGAGACTTATGAATTAATTAAAATGCATGAGATGATCTCTCCTTGATTCTGCCCTTTTCCGATAACCAGCAGAAAAAATTTAAAAAGCAGGAACAATTTAGCTTAAATTAGGGCCACAGAGTAAGGTATTTATTAAAATAGCATAAAGTGTGCTAAAGTAAATAGCTCCTTTAGTTGGTCCTTATTAATTTCCATTAACGTTCTGAAAATCCTGTCCTTCAACATAAACATAGCTTTGTTTTTTAACAGGCTGCTCTGGAGGGGGAGTTTGTGTGCCTGGGAATGTGTGATCTAGTTTCAGCTGCTTCACTGACTGTGTGTTGCAGAACTTAAGCTTCACCATGAATCTTATTCATGGCTGATAAATCCTGTATGTTGGAGAAACTCTTTAAGGAGAGGAGACCGTTTTCTGTGGCTCCTGCTTCGCAATTAAGCAGAACTGAGGTCCGGAGCCAAGCTGGATCCCGCTGGCAGAAAGAGTGACTGATAGAATGCAGTCCGATCGATGTGCTCTGGTTCAACAGAACTGTGACACTCGCATCACGGCCTACTTCAATAATGGGCTTGTTTTTATTTAAATGCTGTGGGTAAAGAAAGGAGTATTGGAAAACTTGGGCCGGAAATAACTTGCCACCAGCCCGGGCCTGAGCCAGGCCCTCGTGACAAGGTCCAACATAGTGGTATCTGCTTACCTTTTCCGCAGACCACCAGGAGGGGAGAGGGGAGCAACAGCCTTGGAGCAGAGGGGAGGAGCCTGTGGCTCAGGAGAGGAGGGGCCTGTGGCCCAAGAGGGGAGGGGCCTGTGGCTCAAGAGGGGAGGGGCCTGTGGCTCTGGAAGGGAGGAGCCGTGGGGCAGAGCGGAAGAGGGAGCCAGTACTGCCCTCCATTTCCTCCGCCGCGTCCCTTGCTTTCCAAGCTGATCTGTCTAGAGGGGGCACTTTTCTCTAATTCACAGAAAGGCACCGTGTGGGCCGTAGGCCGCCTTGGAGAAGGTAGTCCTATAAAGGCCTTTTTCGAACTTTTATGGCAGTGATAAAATTTGAATTCCACTGTGGAACTGGAATTTGTAGCTTACCCCTGCAACAGAGGGGCGCGCGTCACATAAGATCACACAGGCGAAGTGAGGAATTGTCATGACATGCCATTGCCTGCAGACCGATGGCTCCAGACTTGGGGGGTTTCAGGTGTGTGTCCGACTTCAGCGCTCTCGGCCTCAGGTTTCTGGTTTCGTTTGCTGTCAGGAAATTTATGTAGCTGAGAGCTTATTAGAATTTTGTCTTCAGGGGCGCCTGGGTGGCTCGGTCGGTTAAGCGTTCGACTTTGTCTCAGGTCATGATCGCGCGGTTCGTGAGTTCAAGCCCCGCGTCGGGCTCTGTGCTGACAGCTCGGAGCCTGGAGCCCGTTTCCGATTCTGTGTCTCCCTCTCTCTCTCTGCCCCTCCCCCGTTCATGCTCTGTCTCTCTCTGTCTCAAAAATAAATAAACGTTTTTTAAAAAAAAAAAGAATTTTGTCTTCAAAGAGAAAATAGACCCAGATCGAAGACTGGGCGTGTGATCCTGCAAGAAAAGTTTACAGGTTGAACTTTGTGACTCCGGTTAGCTCACTCACTGGCTTCCCCCTGGGCTTTCTAGGAGAAGCCTCAGCCCTGTGGCGTGTGTGTGCTCCCCTCCTGAGCACTGTCAACCCTTTTGGGTGCAGGTGATAAGACTGTGCACCTAGAACAGCCAGGAGACACATCCTGAAGTATCTGGCAGTGAAACGATATCAGGTCTGGGATTTGTTTGGCAATACTGTGGGAAGCAGATGGATGGACACGCGCACGCGCACACACACACACACACACACACACACACACACACACACACTGGGGGGGAGGAAGCAAGTGAAATGAGCCTGGAGAAATGCTGATAACTCTTGGAGCCGGGTGACAGGTATGTGGCGGATTGTGAGACGTAGAGAATTAATAAGCTGGATGCTTTTCAAGCTCAGCAGAGAAAAATTGATGACTTTCCAAGACACCATGATTAGTCAATTAGAAATTAGAGTATCAAATAGGAAAAAAAAAAAAAAAAAGATTCTACCCCCAGCGACAACAGTTTCTGAGAATAAACATAATAAAATATGGGAGGTCTAAAAGGAGAAGACTACAAAACTTCACTAAAGCATCAAATAATTGGAAAGGTATACTGTATTCTTTGATAGGAACACTGACAATGTGAAGATGTTCTTCTCCGGCTAATCTATAAATGCAAGTATCTATGAGTAAAATCCAATGAAATTCCAATAGCAGTGTGATATAAAACATAACGGGCCGACTGGAGTATGTCTGGGACCCCCCCCGCCCCCCTCCCCACACACACTTAAACTAAATGGCAGCACCATATGGGTGGGGCAGAGACTCAGGACAAAAACGACTGAGTCATGCTGGTCCTACTGTTTTCCTCCACTCCACCCAATCCCCTGGCAGGTCCAGACTTCTCTACCTGCACATATACCTGGATGCCACCAGCGCCCCGCTGCGTAGGTACAGCACTAGTCCAGTCACTTGGACTGGCCTCCTAACTAGTGTTCCAGCCACCACTCCCAAGGCTTCCCCAGCCCCCATGCAGGGGCCTGCTCAAGCCTGCACCGCCTACGTCCTCTGCCCTGGCTCCTTCTCCAGTCTCCTCTCTTGCCATTTCCCGAGCTTACGCCACTTGAGCAGCCCTGACTGGCTCCTGCCTCATCTTTGTATTTGCTGTGCCTTCTGCCTGCACTGCTCTGCCCCCAGACCTCTGCTCGGCTGCGGCCTCCTCATTCAGGGCTAACTCGATGATTTGGGCAAGACTTTCCTGGCCACCCTCGCGCAACTAACCTGTGCACTCCACGCTCCCCACGCCCCCGTTGTCTCCGTTCTGTCACCTGCTTTCTTGTCTTCCTACCACTGGTCACCAAAAGCAACTTCTGTGTTTGCTTTTGCATACATTGCATGACGTTGTTCACCATGAGAGTGCAGGCTCTATGGGAGCAGGGTGGTGCGGGTTGCGTTGTGTCCCCCAAAAAGATAATGTTCAAGTCCTAACCCACGGTAACTGAATGTGACCTTACCTGGAAATCAGGTCTTTGCAGCCATAATTAAGATGTAAATTCAGGTGAAGTCATGCCGGCATAGGGTGGGCCCTTAATCCAGTAGGATTGGTGTCTTTATAAAAAAAGGAGACACAGAAACAGACATACACAGAGGGGAGACGGTCATGCGACGGAGGCAGAGATTGGAGTGACATCTTGGCCACCAGCCTAGGACCAGAAGAGCCGAGGAATGAACCTCCTCTAGAGGCTTCAGAGGGAGCAGGGTCCCGCCAATACCTGATCTTGGACCTCTGGCTCCTAAAACCGTGAGAGCATACATTGCAGTTATTTTAAGTGCCCCAGTTTGTGCTACTTGGTTCCAGCAGCCCCAGGAAACCCCTACAAGGGGCATCGTGTGTTGTTCGGTACTGTCTTCTCAGCCCTGTCTGGTGTGCGGAGCAGCCCCAGAAACACTGCTGAATGATGAAGGAATGACAAAAATAGCCAAGAAGATTTTGAAAAAGATCAGTGAGGACGGATTTGATCTCCCAGATAGTAAAGCACACCACAAAACCAGAAGAACGGTATAATGGACAAAAATCAATAGAATAGAAGAGAGGGCTCACAGTCTTATGTAAATAGATTAGTTTATTGTAACTTAGGTGATGATTTAATCAGCCAGGGGAAAGGTGGATATTCAACGAATGGTGTTGGTTGGTGTCATCAACCAGTGCTGTGCCCCGTGGGGCTCTTCGTTTATTCAGCCAGATATTCAGATCGGGTTCCCCTTGGATTTTCTAGTCTGAAAGGAGGAGGGCAGAAACCTCGGCTTGCCCGCAGGACAGCGCTGGCTCTCCCTCTCCTGGGCAGTGAGTGGTCTCTCCAGGAGCTCCTGCAGGTGACTGCTTCGCACAGCCATCCATCGGGTCCCTAGCTCCTCCCATCATTAAGCCTTGCACCCTGTAGGAGCCATATCCTTTATAAAACCCCGACAGGTATAGATTCCAGGCTTCCCCCAAGCCCTGAGCCTGGTGTCCTCGTCGGCAGGTATAATTCATGTATGGCTCTTCCCTGTCCGGGAGCAATTGGCCGATTAAGGTCATTTTTACCAAAAGCAATGTTATCTAGTAACGCAGTTGATGGTTTACCTTTATGGGGTTCCTAGGTTTTGTTAAGCCTATGTGGATGTTAATTAAGTTAGAGCCCTATAGTATATCAGACTTTAAAAGAAATTACAGAAGTCATTAAGGTTAAATATAAAGAGGGGCACCTGGGTGGCTCAGTCAGTTGAGCATCCGACTTCGGCTCAGGGTACCATCTCATGGTTTGTGAGTTCGAGTCCCGCGTCGGGCTCTGGGCTGACAGCTCGGAGCCTGGAGCCTGCTTGGGATTCTGTGTCTCCCCGTCTCTCTCTGCCCCTCCCTGCTCATGCTTTGTCTCTCAAAAATAAATAAACATTAAAAATTAAAAAAATACATATATAAAGAGCTCAACTTTTAAAGTATTAAAAGAACTTATAGGAGGAGCATGCACAGTTTCATAGTGTGAAAGGCTTTCTAAACAAAGCGTAACGCTCAGAAGTCATAAAAGAAAAAAAAAACCTGACAGATTTAAGAAATATATATAAATGAGCGAGTCCTAAGTGTACAGCTCCATGAATTTTCACCGAGTGAACTCACCCATATCACCAGGGTGAGATCTAGAAACAGAGCGTTGGGGGCACCCAAGGACCCCTGCTCAGCCTTTACCCTGTGTCAGACTGATAGACTGATTACATAAATATTTAAAACTCCAGGGTATAAAAAGATACCATAAAGGTAGTTTAAAAACGAGCAGCAGGGGCGCCTGGGTGGCTCAGTCGGTTGAGCGGCCGACTTCAGCTCAGGTCACGATCTCACACTCCGTGAGTTCGAGCCCCGCGTTGGGCTCTGTGCTGACCGCTCAGAGCCTGGAGCCTGTTTCAGATTCTGTGTCTCCCTCTCTCTGACCCTCCCCCATTCATGCTCTGTCTCCCTCTGTCTCAAAAATAAATAAACGTTAAAAAAATTAAAAAAACAAAAACAAAACAAAAAAAAAAAAACGAGCAGCAGCCTGGAAGGAAACTGTGTATAACTATTTGCAATATATAAAAGGGTCAAAGATTGATAATCATTGGATATAAAAGAGCTCCCGTAGATCACAAAGAAGAAGAACAGTTTACCAGAAGAGATGGCAAAGGATATCTAAGTCATCCTCAAAAGGAAGAAGTCAAATGGCCCAAGCCATGGAGCCAGCACTGGCCACTCCGTCTTGGGCTGTCAGCAGTGCCCGACGAGGGAGTGCTGGTTCTGTTCTCCATTCTTCCATGGAGGCTCCTGTGACAGACACTGCATTCCACCCGGTGTCACCCCTCCCTCCTGGCCCTGCAGCTGTGCCCTCACACCTGTCTCTCCCCTTAGGCCTTTACCCCTTTCCCAGGAGATATTCGTTTCTCTCATGCACTGGCTCCCAGGTCATCCCCCACAGGCTTCCAGACAGGCCCAGATTTGACTTGTCCTCCAGGTGACACCCCTGCTCAGGTTCAGGCAAAGCTCAGCACGAGGAACATCAGGGCCGGGCTCAGGTGCTTGAGGCATGAACAGCAGTTGTGGTATCACCGGGAGTGGCAGGAGGCAGAAAGGGGGCCACCATTGCCAGGGGTTGGGGCAGGCGGTAGGTATGGCGTCCATTCAAAAAGGGGAGTTGAGGAGGACAAAGTAGGCCCCCAGAAAGGAGTGTGGGACAGGCAAAGTGTTCATTCTGTAAAGGCGAACTTCCCCAGAGAGAGGCTGCTGAACAGAAGGATTTCACAGGTAAATGACAGGGGGGTCCAGACATGGCTCCCACCCCCTGGAGATGTGCGCTCAGGTGAGCATGGAAAAGATTGCCAGGCCGGGTGGTAAATCCAGCTGCTCAGCTAGCCCAGGGATTCCCAAGCACGTGCGACCTTCTGTTCATGGAGCACACATAACACCTCAGGGCACACCGGGGTCTCCTGGAGTGCCGTTGGGGAATGCCGTGCCGTGAAGTGGTTGAGATTGAAAGGTCGGGTTCTGACCCAGCCACAGACTTTTCTGTTACCAAGGCTGGGCGGAGCGAATTCCAGGTATAGAAAGACTTTGGCCGGTTGGTAAATTAGAGGAGGCGGTTCCCAAATCAATGAAATGTGGTTAAGAGGGTCATTTGAGGTGTCTTCTGCCTTTTTGTAAAAATAGCGTGACTGTCTTCCCCCGATGTTGTGAGGGGCCTCTGTGAAGGAGCAGACATGTTTAATTAACAGACACGTATGGAAGGAGAGGCCAAAGTAGTCGCAGTAGATGCCCCCAAATACTGTGTGTGGGGATGCGGATAACACAGCACAGTTAATGCGTCTGCCCAGAGTTGAACTCGCTTCATGTTTCCTGGGTCTCTGTGCACAGTGTTTGCCCCCCGCGAGGCTGCAGCTCTTTGTCTTTGCGGTGCATCTAATCCAGGTAAGCGGACTGGTGTTCCAGTCACGTCTCTAATGCTAGTTTTCTCCTAAACAACAACAACAACAACAACAATTTTTTAAAAATCAGAGAAGCCTGAGAAATGAATTATAGTCTGTTTTCTGGATTCTGGATTAAAACATAGAATAGGAATTGGCCTTTTGTGGACGGATGAAGCTTTCATCTTCCTGGAACTGTGACCTGTGCTCAACAGATCCTCGCCCGCCAGCCTCTTGGAACACTGCCTCCACCTGCACGCACTCCCCCAGACGGAGCCTTGCTGGCGGCGGGCAGGCATCCTTCTCGCTCACTGCCACTCTCAGGCCAGGGTTCCTCCTCCTCCCCCTAGAAAAACGGCTCTTGTGGACGCACACGCCTCCTTGTTGAGGTCTCCCTTCCTCTGGGCCACGCTGTCATTCACAGAGGAGCTGGGCTCCTGGCTTCCTGGGTTCTCCCACCGCAACTCCTGTCCCCATCCCCGGTGAGCCCACGCCTCTTAGCGTGATGCCCCTGCTTCTGGCCTCTCTCTGGCCTCACCTCCTCACGACCGAGCCCTCCCTTCCCCTCACTTCACACCGCTAGACCTTCCCGGCACCAGGTACCATGCCACCTGCAAGTTCAGCTTCAGGCATCCTTCTCTGCGACCCGCTGTCCTCCTCGCACCCCAGACAGTTCTGCAGCCGCCAGCCCTTAGTGTCCCGGCCCCGCAACCTTCCCGCCACCCTCCCCTCCCCTCCCCTGCCCTTCTCTTGCTTACGGTGCGCCTCGTGGCCGTGACCACTCCTGCACACACTCTCCGCTCTCTTGCACACACTCCTCCCTTGGGTGCGTGCGGAGCAGCCCCGCCCCGCAAGCCCGGGGTGAGGCCACGCCCCTTCCACCCCAGGCATGCGCCCTTGTTGCTGAGAGTGGCCGGAGGAAACCACGACCACGCCGGCTTGTTGCAGTTTCACATGGGGTCTTCGACGCTGGTCAGTCATCTTACCGGACTTTCCTACCCAGGTTGCTCTTCCTCACCGTGCGATGGCTATTTCACATCTTCTCGAGCCTTCGACACCTTGGCCCTCTCAGCTAGTGTTTTGCTTCCTATATCACTGAGAAAATAAAAGGAATTAAGAGGAGAACTTTCGCAAGCCCCACCACTTCACGTGTTTGCTGGCGCCCGCCACCTTCCCTCTGTTACAGCGCTGACCCCCTGCCCCTGTTCTCTATCTTTCCGCCTCGTCCCCTCCCCCCTTTAAACACTTTGTTCCCACATTTCCCCCTTCCCTTCCTAGCCAGGTGATTTCCATCATTAAACCGACAGACAGTCGTATCCCAGGTTGCGTCCCA